TGTTCAGTCACAAACAGGAGTCACACAAAAGTAGGAATTAGAGTTAGCAGCTAGTCAGTTCTGCTATGTGTCATTTCTACCGCAGGCAACAGATGCCCTTTATGAGGTGTTTATGGGAAACCGGCTCCGAGCTGCTACCTTCCGACTCTTTCCTCAGCTTCTCATGGCACTGCTCGTCCAGATTCACCACAGCATCGGCCTCACCATGTCTGATGTCGCCGTGCCAAGTAACCTGTACACAGACCAAGAAGTATCTTCTGAGGTTACCCCTTTGTGGTACTGTCCGCTGTGATTTCATTCCTTAACTAACATGGCTTCCACTCGATGGTGGACAGAAGGACAGCAGTGATGTGGTCCCAGCCCTAGGAGAGCCTACAGCCTCTACCTCTGCCTTGTTTCATGAAGTATCAAGACATGCCCACAGATGGCTCTGGGCTCTCATTGGTTGAGCTTGACTTTATGGGTAACAAGGCAAACGTGTCCATCTGTCTTCAGAATGCTTGCGAACTAATGTACCGTATTATGCCAGTCCTTTTAAAATCAAGTAGGGACAAAGACAAGCCAATTAGCTTCAAACCCACCCCCAAAACTGCTACCTACGGAAGAATGATTCTTTATTTTTGCTTTCTACATGGGGAGGGATTTCCAGTTTCCCATATGGGCGTCCGTAGAAATGTCTTAGTGTCACTGTAGCATATTGATTTCTTTCAGAGTAAGTATGATATCGTTTGGAATAGTTTGAAATGCCAGAGTTGGAGTCAGGAGACCAGCTGGGTACCCTGGGCACATCTGTTCCCTGTGTGTCAATTTTCTCATCTGTGAAAAAGAATGTCAGGTTTGGCCATCTCCAGCTCTTAGACGCTAAGATCACGTGTTTTACCGCACACTGCGTTCCACATTCCTGGAGAACCAAAATCTAATTAGAGTCTTGTAGGAAATCTAGAGCATTGCAGCCAAGCAACCCAGGGACACACAGGCCTCCTCAGTAAGGATGGGGTGACTGACTGTGTGCTAGGAAGGTGGAGGAACCTGCTCTGTGCACCCTGACTGATTTTATTTGATTTAGCTTCGCCATGCAGGCTACGAAGACTCTCCTCCTCAGAACCTTGTGCTGGCAGGAATTCAGCATCATGGAAAGCAATAAAGGATGGGCCCTTCTGGAAGGAAAAGATTGCCACCTTCAGGGAGTAGCTCTCCTTGCCAAGTAAGGCTTCTTTGACATGCATCTACCCACCTCCTCTAAATCAGCATTGTTTTAGATATTTCTTTCCCCTGGTGGTCAATACAGCCACCAAGGTTGAATAACTTCCTCATAACTGTGGGAAAATGTCCATAATGCCAGGCTCCGAAGTCCTGGCCCTGCCATACTCTCCTGTGCACCTGAAACTAAGCAAAAAGTTTAGGGGGCCCAGGGCTATGGGCAAATGCTCCCTGATATCTGCATCTCTGACAGTCATTTTGTTGGTATTCTGTTTTGCAGTGCTTTGCTGGAAAAACATTGCTTCATTGCACATAAGATCATGTACTTGTTAGTTCCTCTACTTAACCGAGGAAATGATAAGCATAAAATCACAGCTGCAGGCTTTTTTGTAGAGGTAAGACTTGTTCTTTAAAAGTCAGGCTCAGGAAGACTGTAAAGGATGTACACTTTGCCTTCCTAGAGGAGACTCTACTTAGTGACAGGCTGGGTCCATTTCAGGTTTAGGATAGAAATATTTTTAGATTTATACCTGTTGAAAATTTTCGTTTCATTTATTTACTCCTTGTTCAGTATTCTTTGCAGCAGGATCACTGGTGGCACAGTGAGCTAGGCATTGGGTTGCTAACCGCAGGGTCGGTAGTTCAAAGCTACCAGCTACTCTGCAGGAGAAGGATGAGGTTGTCTGCTCCCATAAAGCTTTACAGTCTCTGGGTTCTTAAAAGTTTCCAAGCAGTCATCTAAGAGGCAGCGTTTGGAGTCTCTCTGTCTGGAAGGAAGAAGAGTGATAAGCCTGAAGATGCATGGGAAAAAATCAGATCATGAGGACATCAGTCTTCCTTGCGACCAAAAGAACTAGATGGTGCCCAACGGCCATATTAGAATGTCCTGGATGGAGTAGGAGGAAAATGTGAAAGCTTGACCTTTGAGGAGCTGATACCAAGGGCTCAAGTAGAAAGCAAATGTTTTGAGAATGAGGATGGTAACAAATGTACAAATGTGCTTGACACCATGGATGGATGGATGGATCGTGAAAAGAGTTGTATGAGCCCCCAATAAAATGGTTTTAAAAAAAAAGAAAAAGAAAAGCTTGAAATCATTTTAAAGAAAAGAGCAGGCTTTTTTAATGGCCAAATAGAGACTGATGGAACACCTAAAACTGTACCCCTTAGACACCCTTCAAGTCTGGAAATGAACTTCCCATGGCTCAATTTTCAATCAAACTGTAAGCTCATGAGGAGAACAATAAAACTAGTGAGGTACATACTCCTTGGCATCATCAACCATTGGAGATCCAAAGGGCAGCATTTACTACCCAAGGACAAAGTTCAGAAGGGTTAAAACAGAAGAAGGAATTGAAACAGGAACAAGAAGGATTGGAAATAGGAACCCAGAGGGAAGAAGTAGGATAAGTGATGTCACAGTGTGGGAGCCGCAATCAATGATATGGAACAAAATGGTTAAGACCTGTTGAATGGAAAACTGATCTGCTCTGTAAACCTTCACCAAATTAATAATAAAAAGCAGAGGAGGGAAAATTTTCAGTATTGGAAACCCTAAGGCAGTGGTTCTCAACCTTCCTCATGCCACGACCCTTTAATACAGTTCCTTATGATGTGGTGACCCCCAACCATAAAATTATCTTCATTGCTACTTTATAACTAATTTTGCTAGTGTTATGAATCTGATGACCCCTGCGAAAGGGTCGTTTGGCCCCCAAAGGGATCGCGACCCACAGGTTGAGAACCGCTGCCCTAAGGAGTAGTTCTACATCCTATAGAGTTGTTATGAGTCTCTATGGTATATACAGTAGAGATTTTAGAGGAAAATACACATTAAAAAAGAGCTAAAAAGTAACTTCTGGCTGATTTCCGGGTTCTTTCAGCTTCTCCAGTGTCCATTGGCTCGGAGACTGCCTAGCATATACTCTGTCACCCGCTTGAAAGATTGGCTACATAATGAGAGTCATCTCTTCAGAATGCTTGGCCTAAAAGGACTATTCTATCTCATTAGGAACCAAGAAAAGGTAAGAAGGAGCTTCCAAACCAGAATTCTTAAGTGACTACTAGAATAGATGCCCCCCAATATCCACGAAACTAGAAACCACTGTTTCCCTTCGGAAGAACCTGTTAGGTATCCTTGGGATAGGAGTGGTGAGGGAAGGTCTTCGTCTTTTTTCACTGCAAATCCTTTGAACCATTTTATACCTATTAAATAGGTACCTGATCATTAAAAAATAAATAAATAAAAGAAATCAAGAGAAATACAAAATCTAAACATTCATCGATACTGTTTGAAACCTGAAATTTGTATAGGTGGCACCCTCGGATGCTGGCAGCATTTAGGTGCCCCTCTATGCTTTGTAACATGTTTCAGGGGAAATTGGATAGGCCCTTCCAGCTGCCCCCAAGGAGCTTATCCTCTTAAGACAGCAACCAGTGACAGTCACACTAGAAAACAACTCATCTCCCATAAGCCTAGCTAGAAACCAATCCTTGATCGGGAGAGAAGAGTAACCCCTGAGCTTAAACTTTGATCAGTTGGGCTCTATTTCTTTTATCTAAAAATACATGTATACATCTACAATGCATAGAAAGATACATGTACGAATCTGAAAACAATGACAAAACTAATGCATGTTCATCCTGGTTGGATGGATGCGTGCATGCATGTATATTTGTGTCAATGTAATTTTATACATGTACATTTTAAGCTTTAAAACCCTGAGACTGCCTCCCTTGAGGGGGAGGGCAGTAGTCTCAGAATTGCAACATCTCAATTCAGAATGGGAAGGACTCCCATGAGTCCTCAGTCAAGTTCTACTTGAATTCCAGCCAAGAGATTTTCTAGCCTCTTTTTGGATCCTGCCATATAACCTGAGCTAACCACCCTGCTTTCTTTCACTGGTGCAAGTGTTCTTCCTTCACCAAGCCCAAGTCCATATGCCTGAACCCTACTCTGCCTGAATCTATTTCTTCCTTGTGAAGCGAATTAGTTCTGCGCCCTCTTGCTCATAGCAACTCCTCCAGGACTGAGAGAGGGTAATCATACCCTATTAACGGCTCCATTCTGGTTCAGCCAACCCGACCCAAATCCGGCAGGCATTAAGTACTAAGTTAAAAGTGGGGGGTCTTCTTTGGGTACCAGATGCCATGCTCTCGGGAGAGATGATAATGTGCTGTGTTTGGGCACACAGAGGGAAGATATCAAGAGGCTGTTGCCACACATCTTAGACAGCTTGTACGAAGCTGATGAGAAGATTGTGTTGCTGGCCATACAGATCCTCCTACACTTTGTCCATTCAATGGATTTCTCCACTCTGACTGTCATGATGAGGACACTGTTCTCCTTGTTTGGTGATGTAAGACTGAGAGAGGGTGAGGGTGATTGGTGTAGATGTGAGTAAAAGTTGGGGTACTAATAAGTTCACTGTGTTTTATATAGGCTTTTTTTTTTTAACTTGCAGAGCACTTTCCAACCTCCTCTCCTAAGACCCTCGAAGGAATCGTGATGTTGAAATCATAATGTTATCATTCTCATTTTTCAGATAAAGAAAAAAGCATTCCCCTCCAAAAACGAAGACATAGAGATTTGCTAGTGTCCCACTTTGTTTCATGTGATGGAGAGGAAGCGTATTCCTTTCAAGGAATATGCAGGACTGGGCCAAGATGGTGGACTAAGCAAATGTCCCCATCACAAATACTTTTCAGAAAGGAACTCATGGAGTAAAATGCCCAGGGAGGATGGGATTTTTAATTGTAGCAAAGCAATTTGTGAGAATGGTCACTACCAGTCACAGGCACAAGCTAGGGTGAAAGAAAAGGGCAAGTAAGGCCAAATCAATAGACCTTGCTATCTCCAGGTAACTTTAATTTCTCACCCTCACCTAAAGCCAGCTAACTCATCTCATGTCCAACCCGAGTTTTTACAAGGTGAGCATGCAGACCTTCAGTGAGCTGCTTTCCTTTGGATGCTTCCATCGTAGGTGAGGCCTAATGTTCATCGTTTCTCCATGACCCTCTTTGGAGCCTCTGTCAAATCTGTGAACTACTCGGATAAGAAAGGGATAGAGAACCAAGTCTTGGACAGCCTGGTCCCACTACTTATGTATTCTCAGGATGAAAATGCTGCAGTAGCTGAGGTAAGGCCTTCGTCGACTTCTTTCATTCCCGAATGACTTCAAATGTAGAGTCCTATCTGCAAATAAGTGTTCATATCTTTGAAAAGAGAGTCCTGCTGTGCAGTGCCAGCTTTGTATGCCAGATCCTCTAGCACAGAGGTATGTCAATGGCTTGCCAAAGTGGATTGTCTGAGAACAAACAATCTTATTTCTTATTTCTATGAGGAGCCCTGGTGGCATAGTGGTTATGCATTGAGCTGCTAACTGCAAGGTCAGCAGTTCAAAACCATCAGTTGCTCCAAGCGAGAAAGAGTGGGATTTCTACTCCTGGAAAGAGTTCCAGTCTCGGAAACTCACAGGAGCCGTTCTCCCCTGTCCTTTAGGGCCACTGTGAGTCACCATTGACTCAATGGCAGTGAGTTTGGTTTGATCTGGTTTTCTTATTTCTATATAGCAAATTAGGGTCTTATGTGGATAAGAATAATCTATTAAATCAAGTAAACCGCTTTCTAGTCCTATCCCAATGTTCAACATAGGACAGAGTCCTAAATATATGGTCCAAGTCGACAAACTCATCTTACTGAGGACAGAGATAATCTATTATCTTTCAGCATTCACTTCAAGAATTACCTCATGGCCCTGAGACAAGTAGACTTCTGCTGGTGCCAAGTCAGAGATGGAAGCTTCCCTGGCAAACCAGAGGCCCTGACCTTGCCTTCATTTCCAAAGGGGAGCCCTGTTGCCATGGTGGGTTATGCGCTCGGCTGCCAGCCATGGTGTCAGCAGTTGGAAACCATTAGAAACTCCTTGGGAGAAAGCTGAGACTTTCTACTCCCAGGAAGAGTTACGGTCTCGGAAACCCACCGTGGCCATTCTACTCTGTCCTATTGGGTCGCTGTGGGTCAGAATTGACTCAATGGCAATGAGGATCTTCCAAGAGTTTCTACCACCAGAATTATGATTTTCCATTTAAGCCATTCTAGTCTCCACTGAAAGGTAGGCTGGTAGCATGAAGGGTTATAAGTTGGGCCCCTAATGGCAAGGAAGGTCAGTAATTCCAGCCCACTAACACTTCACGGGAGAAAGTTGAGGCTTGTCTGCTCTGCAAAGGTTGACAGCCTTGGAAATTACAGGGGACTCAACTCTGTGTGCATCCAGTCTCAGCTGGGTGGTGGGTGGGAGGTTAGACATGTCATACTGTCCCTGAGAAGTCTATCCATGCTCAAGTGCTAACTATGCTCACCAATAACTGCTTCCCAGGCCGGTAAGGTTAGACCCCAGGATTCAGTGCTTCTTACAGAAACGAAAGCTCAAGTTCTGCAGATTCAAAAATAAGAACCTTGTTACGGAGGGAGGTTGTGGCACCAAAGCTATAATATGAGATATTTCAGACTCCCAGTAAAGTACAGAGAAGAGCTTCCCAACAAGGTGATAGAGAAGTAAGCCCTGTGGGGATGAAAGCTTTGTGGAGTTATTTCCCCAAGCTGAGTCCACCCCTAGCCTTTGGCAATCAAGCAATACCTAGAGCAGCCAATGCTCTAGACTTCTTTTCCTTCAAACTTTGAGCTACTTCTAGCCACTTCCTCCAAGACTCCTCAGAGGGCAGTCCAAGGAGAGAAGGTCCCCTTTAAAAAAGGCTAGGAATGATTGGTACAGAGAGTAACATAATAGCCACCCAGATAGCCACCACTCACTGCAAGAAATAAACCACACACCTGTTCCCAAATGCATCCCACCCAAGAACTGCCCTCCTAAACGTTTTCTTTCTTGTAACATTGTCTTCACGTTTTAAAACTTTGTCACATCATTCAATAAACAGCTCCTAGCAAATTATTTTTCTTAATTTAACCTTAGGTCTATGAGCTTTACCTTAGTTGTGTAGCTCTAGTTTGTTTTCGTTGCTATATAGTATTCCACCAAATAGAAATCTGGCAGCTTGTCCCATTTGCTTATTCCTGGACACTTAGATTGTTTTCAGATTTTCATGGTTACAAACAATGCTGCAGGATATTCTTGTGCACATGTGTGAAATTTTCTAAAGTATAAAAACCCATAGTGGAATACTGGCTATCTCAAATTTTCCTAAGTATTTACAGGTTACTAAACAAAATAAGTGAACTAATTTGCATGCCCATAAGATTCCAAAGGATATCTTATGGTCCCAATATCTGGTGGGTCTGGGGCAAGCTACTAGAGTAGCTATTCATCAGAAATGGTGTATGGTGTGTGGGAAGCATTCAAAGAGCAAGGGACCAGAGAGGCTGAGGCGCTAAGTTTGCTCAGGAAGGGAACTCTCTAGAGTTCCTTCCAACCTAAAGTTTCCACAAGGATGGTAAGACGAGGGGCTGCACTTCCTGTATAGAGGGGGAGAAAAATCACACAGGAGCAGCAAGGGGCAGTGGGAGCTTAGGGGGGTGGGTGTTCCTGCCCAGAGGTCTCGCCTGCAAGTTACTGTACATTACATTGTGGCTCTCACTTTGGCCTAGTGCGCTGGTTTCTACCTCCTGCCCTCTAGAACCCTGGATGTTTATGGATCCCTGCTAGGGATTGATTGGGGAACATGGAGGAGAACAGCAGGACTCTGGTTCCTTCCGCCACTCCCCTCATGTCTACCAGAGTAATTCTGACGTTATTAGCTTTACATTTTAGACTTTAGTGTCCATTTTATTTGAAGCAAGATGACTTCAGCTTAAAAAGAAGGCTTTTAAATGATGATATAATCCTTTTCACAGGAGAGCAGGCAAGTCCTAGGTGTATGTGCCCAGTTCCTGAAGTGGAGGCTGCCCCAAGCGGTGTACTGCAAAGATCCCTGGTACACCAAACCGAATAAAGTTGGAACAATCTGCAAATTCTTTGTATGTGAGCAATGATAGCTTTGTTAACTCTCTAACATGCTTTCTTCCTGACGTAGTCCCTTAAGGGCGGAGAACGGCATCCAGGCATCCTTTCACGTCCTTTTCCACATCAGCAGTTGATAACTATGAACTCTTACACTGTGGATCTATTTTCCTGTCCTCTCCTCTCCCACCCCCCCCACCTCACCCCCAGTGAGTCATAAATTCACTTTTTTATTACCACCTTTCTTCACAGAAGCACGGGTGAACTCCTGGGAGTTCCATTAACCTATGTCAGAGGTTACAAGGTTAAGTTGACAATTGATGCTGAAACATTGCTTGTAGACTAAAGTAAGGTGACCAGACGTCCCGCTTTTGGCGGGACAGTCCCAATTTTTAACAATTTTTCCTGCGGCCTGCGGCATTTTTTAAAAGTCCCTATTTTTAGAAAGAATGCATGACAAGCTAGGGTATACGGTTTTCGGCTGCCATGTGGCTGTTTCGCCAGGATATGAGTTTTATCAATGGTGTCCGCTTTACCAATGCTAAAACTGGTCACCTTAGACTAAAGTGAAGTGATACATTGCTTTTACCATGATTTTGAATCTTTTCTCTAGAGACAAGTGCATTGTTTTACCCTCCACCACCGCATGTTCAGGGAACCTCAGTGGGGACGCTGTGCAGCATGGTCACAGCATGCTACTGGCTCTTCCAGGACTCAGCTGGCACAATTCCTGCTCACAAACTCAACAAAGGCAACCGTGGCTGATCTCAGGGATAAGCATGCAGCAGGGCAGCTTTAGGAGGCCCACGATTATTCCAGAAAATTGACTCTAAAACCACTTGGATCTTATGGGAAACATTCTAAGATTGACTCTTCTCAGGAATCTCCTGTATCGATAGCCTGTTTCAGACCCAGTTTGAACTTTCGTGACCATACTTAGAGGGCTAGGTGGCTCACATGCCCTGGTGTCCAACTTCCCACTGAGGATTAGCTGCATGCCCTGCAGCTGATGACAGTTCCTTACCACAGCCTATTAGGTGCTCCCTCAAGGAGTAAGGCTGAGATTAGCCCTGTGACACTCTGCAGCTGATGCGGACACATTCCTGTTCTCTCATTCCTATCCGAGGTGTGCCTCCTTATAAGGGATACACAGAGATGGGCATTCCAATCAGCCTAGCACAGTCGGTGTACATACTACAGGCAGTGAAGAACTCAGAAACTCCCCAAAGAACGAACACCGCCCCCCCCCCTTGGGGGTGCAGAGCTTATAAGCAAACAACATGTCCATAGACAATTAAATAGTAACTCAAGGTGGAAAATACACAGGGCCTTCAAAACGTTCATGGAAACATGAAGTGAAAAGATAATGGAATTTTCCCACAAACTTTTTGAAATCTTTTCATCGGTACCTAGAGAGGAATACCTGCGAAGCGCTCAGAGCAAAGTTAGGCCAGGTGAAAGGAGGCAGCCTGGAAAGGTCCCGTGGGAGGTGAGCTTCAGGGACAACTTCGAGAACTGAGAGGGAGAGAAGACACAACCACATTAGTGACCCCGAGGGTGACCGAGAGGGTGAGCACAAGGTGGATTCAGAGAGTTTGACTTTGTCTAAAGATGACATAAAAAGTTACCGTCTTAGAAACCTCCAGGGGCAGTTCTACCCTGCAATACAGAGTTGCCATGAGTCAGAATTGACTTGACGGCAGGGAGTTTGGTTTTTGGTTTGAGAGACTTGTTATTGTGGTGTGATACTCATTAGCAACTGTGGGGTACCAGCCCCCACAATCGAGCGGGTCCCAGGGGTGGTTCTGTTACTGAGGGATAAAATTAAAGAAACATCAGACAATATAAGGCATGCAATTCCACCTCCTGGGTGGCCATGATCTCAGTAGCCAGGTCCGCGCAGAGAGAGGGAGGAGCAGCGAGTATGTTTCCAATCACAGCATATATACACTTTGGGGGGCATGCAAGCCCCCCTGATTACATCATAACGGAAAGGGGTTGTACAGTCCATCAGAGGGGGATAAGCTAGGAGTATACACACAATCGGAAGGGGCGGCACTAAGGTTGCACATGTGACAATATGGGCGGGCCTGGATTCAAGATGGCAGCCTAACCTTGGTCCTCCTTGAATTGGCTCAACTTTGTCTCTGGGCTCTCCTTCAGGGAGACAAGCCACTATCGTTATCAGAAGGGAGAGGGCCCTACTAAGGGTGGGACAGACTATAGGGTCTGACTGCTCTAGATGGCTGATAACCCTCAGGGAGATAACTTCTAAGCAGCTAACGTTGACCTCCAGGTGTACTGTCATTTACCATGTGTTGCATGCAGCTCTTAGTTTGGCATGTATTTGGGGGACAACCTGGGGAAAAACCCTTCTGCAGTCCACAAGCAACCATAGATATTTCAAGTACTATTCGATATTATGGATGTCTGACCCAGGAAGTTATACTGAGGCTGATAATGCTGCTAATTCACATCTTCATGCTCCTTTTTTTTTTTTCACTCCACTTAGGGGAAAAAATCGAAGGGGAAAATTAACATCCTAGCCCAAACATTGATGTACGCCAAGCATACAAAACTTCCCATCCGAAGAGCAGCAATATTGTTTGTAGGTACAAAGAAACTTTAATTTTTACGGTCAGTTGTATCCTGCACTTTCCCAAATTGTGTTGAGAATCCCCATTCAAGAGAAAACTTCCAGGCACTTGGAAATCCCGTTTTTGGAAATTTGCCTGATTGTCAAAAGTCCAACTCTGCCAACTGCTTAGATTTTCCAATAAGAAAAACTCTTAGGTGTTCGTTTTCGAGACAAAAATCTGGGTCATGGACTCGCTGACTTTATCCCACCTTTAGGGGCCCTACCAAAGTACATGGATCACAGTGAGCTCAAGAGGAAGGGTACAGACTGGATGGAGGAAGGTAAGTGATAAAAGCCCTTGGCTTTGGTGTGGACCAGTATCTTGGGAGATGCCGAGGCAGTGAGAGTTTTCTTGTTCCTTAGATCTGAGAGAGATGCTGCACGATCCTGAGCCCTCTGTGTGCATCTTAGCCTCCCAGGCACTGGCCCGAGTGCAGATGGCGATGTCAGCCCCTGTACCCGGGCAGACACTTTGCAGGCTGAGGAAGCTCCTGGTCTGTCTTTCTACCTAGAAATACAAGGGGAATCACATCAGGTAAATATCAATCCTTTCAGAACCCACATTAGCAACCAGAGCCTCTTTTCCCTTTTTCAAAGACTTAAACCAATATCAGCATTCAGTTTTTTCCCTTCCTTCATTTCCTCAGAACAGTGGTTCTCAACCTGTGGGCCGTGACCCCTTTGGGGGTGGAACGACCCTTTCACAAGGATCGCCCGATTCATAACAGTAGCAATATGACAGTGATGAAGTAGCAACGAAAATAATGTTATGGTTGGGGGTCACCACCACATGAGGAACTGTATGAAAGGGTCAAGGCACGAGGAAGGTTGAGAACCACTGCCTCAGAGCATTGTTGGTTTAGCTGTCAAAACCTTGGAGGAACTACCCCCAAATTATTTCCCTGAAGAAATCTTTGAACCTTACACCAAAACTATCCCCTGAAATCACCTTTAAAACAAATGATAAGTAAGCAGTGTCTGTCCTTGAACAGTGTATTCTTTTAATGAACTTTCTATAGATGATCAAATTGTCACCCGTGTTCGATGAGAACGCTGTGGGGGCAGTGAGTTTGTGTTAATGATGGTGAAATAATTTGGAAAAGGATTTCAAGAAAGATGGCACATCTTAAATCATGTGAACAACATCACTGAGCTGTGTGTGTAGAAATTGTTGAAATGATGTGTGCTTTGTGGTGTAACCCCGGCCATCAGAAACCTAGAGTGGGATAGGAGAGGGTAGCTTTGGGCTTACATTCACAGAAGGAGTGAAAAGCTATGGATTTTTTGAGGCATGGAAGAACATCCATTCAGTTCCAGTTCTCATAAACAGATTCAGATAAGGTCAAGTAGATATGAATGTTGCAATGTCAATATTGTTATTCTTTTGTCCAGGCCCAGTCTACTTAATTGCCAGTAATCCTGAGAACAAAAGAACCTATTCTTATAATTTCATAATACATTTTTATCAGATGAATACTCTGAGAAGCTGCATATTGAAGGGTTGTACGTTTACAACCAAAAGGCCTGCTGAACTGACTAGGAATGACCACCATTGGTCTGGGTCTCAGAGTCTTGCTTGGTTAGGGAACATAGACAGAGATCGAGAGCTGAACTATCCAGGACAATAAAGAGACTTCTCGGAGGTGATACGGGAAAAGAGAAAGGGGTCAGGATGGGTGGGAAGTGGAATGGGGGCAGTGATGATTAAAAACAAATACCGTATATACCCGAGTATAAATTGACCAGATTACCAGCCGAGGCAACTAATTTTACCACAAAAACTGCATAAATAATGTGCTGAAAAACTCGGCTTATACACAAGGATATATGGTACGTTCAATTACATTGTTTGTATTGTAAATAATATGAATCACCACCTTACCCTCTACTGTTCATCCCTATTCTTCTGCCAAGACATCTTTAGGCACACATTTTTCTTTCTCTCTCTCTCTCTTTTTTTTTTATGGGAACACATTTTTCAATGATTCATCTTGGAGTTATGTTTGTTTTGAGAGGGATGTGACGGTGTGCCAAGTGTGACTTCAAGGGGACCTCTGTCATATCTGGTGCTAGCATTCTGGAATTTTGTGCCAAAATGCAGGCCCCAGGTATCTGATAGATTAAATTCTCCTCCTGGAGGAGAGGAAGTGTCCACCCAGACTGTGGTCTCCAGAGGCTGAACATCAAGGCAAGGAGCACATCTGAGTTACTACTTATCTTTCTTGCTATACTTTCCTTGATTTCATTACATGCAACTAACTGCATTCTTTACTACCCATACTCCATATCTTTATTACCCATTTTGTGGATTACAAGCCAAACACTGACTTAAGTGCATTATTTAATTAATGCTTTTCATCCTCAGAGCCACCTTATGTATGCATATAATTATCTCCAATTTTCAGATGAGGGCACCAAGGCACAAACATAAAGTGGCTTTCTCCAGGTCACACAACTAGTAAATGGCAAGTCAGGATTCAGACCCTACTGGTTTGGCTCCAGAGCCAGCATTGTGGCTGGTCTGCTCCATCCTCGCCAAGCCACTCATTCCCTCTCATGTGAATAAGCACACATTCACTTTCTAATTACTCTCACCTGCTAAACTGCCCAAACTCATGCAATGAAGCTACCATTGGAGAGTGACATTTAATCTCATATAATTTATTAAATACAAAACTTAAGCATTTGTTTTTGTACTGTGCATTTGTTTTATAGTTTAATAAAAAAGAAGACGCAGTCTACATTTAGAGATAGAATGTAATTAAAATTCAATGGTAGTTAATCTTAGTCTTTCTTTGAGCTCTTGGTTTGGTCTCCTGATTATCGTTGATCACAATAGGCCTCTAGTGACTAGAATATGCTTTAATGACTAGAATATTTTTCAAATTTTTTAAATTTCAAAATAAATAAGGGAATGGATCTATTATGTTTTTCCAAAAACTTCTAGGAGTTAATGCAAAGATTCAGGACTCAGTTTTAAATCTCCAGCAACATAGAAGTTGAATGACTCCTTTCTCATTGCTTATATGTACAACCCTTTTCCATCCAGCCTGCTTTTTTTCTGAGTAATGCCAACAGGAAGTAGCCAGCACAACAATACTTACTCTATTTATGTATTACTATGTTAAAATTCACAGAGTGAAGCATCTATTGAGAAAGAGGATTGCTCTTGACGGAACTCCCTCAACAATGTGGGAGGGGCTACAGTAGTACTCAATAGTGATTATGTTATTAAGTCTACTTATTCCAGATATCTCCATTATTTTTATACATGGCTCTTCTTAAAGATAGGTTATGTTTTTGTGGAATTTTAAAAACAAACAAAGCAAAAATTTTGGGACATTTAAATTTGTTACAATTTGTTGAAAAATTTTTAAAAGTTCAATGAAATTGAATATTTTTGGTTCATTTATATCATATATCATTAAAATGTATTGTTCTTGATATATAACTGGCCAATTTGTGTCTTTATTTTGGATTTTCTCTCTCTGTTTTTTACTCTGAGTATTGCTTATATTGGAAGGTATTTCCCTATTAGCCCAAAGAGTTTCTTCAGTTTTTACTCTTGCTCTGTTTCATTCTTCAATATTTATCATATTCAAAGGCATTTATCATATAAATGGCCATTTAGGTGGTGACCAGACATTAGCATTTACCAACAATACCGTAGTGACTAGGGATATGTGCATTTCATACACCACCAAGTCTGTCTTTAGTTAAAATCCTTAAAATGGAATTACTAGGCTAAAGGATATGAAATACATAAATTCAATGAAAAAATCCCCTGACTTTAATGATGGTAGTAACAGTTGGCACTCCTCCATCAGTGGAGGCAAATGCTTTCTCCTCGTGCCTTTATCGGCACAATGTGATATTCGTTCACTCTACAAATATCCACTGGGCCTCTACCTTGGGCCAGGCACTATACTAGATCATTGGGGAATATGAGTGAATAAAGCCAACACATTCCCTACTTTGGTGGGGTCAGTAATCTGGGGGGAGGAGACATGAGGGAGAATTAGGCAATAAGCCTACAAAATCAAATGGTAGGTTAGAAGCTGAGATGTGCTCTAAGAAAAAGGTCAAGGTAGAATCAAGAGTGTCGAGACTGTGGGTGGTTGCGGGATATCATTTTAAAGAGGATGGTGACTGAGATACTTGAGGAAAACTTGAATTGAGGGGTTAGCTGTGCAGAGATGTGGGAAACCATTTCGGGATAGAGGGAGTGTGTTCAGTTCTAAGTCTGAAGAGTGCTGCGGACTATGGTGGTTGCACTAGTCTACATCAGATCAGTAAGTCTGATCTTTTTATGAATTTGAATTTTCTTCTGTCTTTTTCCCACTGTGTCATCTAGAGCAGAGCAGTCAGTAATGGTCAACGGGCACCGTTTAGTTCTTTTGGTCTCACTCAGTGGACGCTGTGGTCCGTGTGGTCCATGAGTCCTATGGACTGTTTCCTGGAGTCCTTCATTTTCTTCCCTTCATGGATAAAGAGAGACCCAAGGCAGCATCTTAGATGATCACTCAAAAGCCTCTAAGACCATAGTTGCTAGTCATCAACGTAGGATGTGGAGCATTGTCTTTATAGTCTGTTATGCCAATTGACCTAGATGTCCCCAAGCCTGTGGTCCGAAGAGAGCAATTCTTTTTTTTTTAATCATTTTATTAGGGGCTCATACAACTCTCATCACAATCCATACACACATCAATTGTGTAAAGCGCATTTGTACATCATTCTCAAAACATTTTCTCTCCACTTAAACCCCCGACATTAGGTCCTCATTTTTCCCCTCCCTCCCTGCTCCCCCCTTCCTCATGAGCCCTTGATAGTTTATAAATTGGTATTTTGTCATATCTTATCCTGTCCGACGTCTCCCTTCGCCCACTTTTCTGTTGTCCGTCCCCCAGGGAGGAGGTCACATATAATTCCTTGTAATCGGTTCCCTCTTTCCTACCCACGCTCCCTCTACCCTCCCTGTTTCGCCACTCACACCGCTGGTCCTGTAGGGCTCATCCGCCCTGGATTCCCTGTATTTTCAGTTCCTATCTGTACCAGTGTACATCCTCTGGTCTAGCCAGACTTGCAAGGTAGAATTCGAGTCATGGTGGTGGGAGCGGGGAGGAAACATTTAGGAACTAGAGGAAAGTTGTATTTTTCATCATTGTTACATCGCACCCTGACTGGTTCATCTCCTCCCCAAGACCCCTCTGCAAGGGGGGGAGCAATTCTTTTGAATGTTAAATTATGCTTTTCAGCTTCTCACTTACTTATCAAAACAACAACAACACAAAAAGAAAGACCAAATTGTTCTTGTTAGTAGGGCTGGCACTAATGGTCCAGCTCTGTGTAAAATAGCGCCTGGCCAGTCCATGGGTGCCC